GCCCAGAGTCACCTCCTGGGGAGATGGGTGGCATACAAATTTAATAAATAAATAATACATACATACATAAATAAATAAGATGAAAGCATCAAAATCCTGCAGATACTGCTATCCAAGAGGAATTGTAACAGTCACAGTCTACCGTGCGGTCATGCTGATTGCCACATGTTGTGTTATCAGAGATAAAAGCTAATGGACAGAGGGATCTACCACAAAATGTACCCCTTTAGGCTCTTCTTTCTTTTTCTGTTAATGTTGTCCCCCTTTCCTTATGCCAAATTAAGATTGAACATATTTAACAAACCTAACTTTGGTTTATTTGGGCAAATTTCATTCACATTTGTAGGAGAACAACTATTCCAGAACCAGACTCTTGTTTATGCTGCCCTTTGCAACTCTGTTTTATTTTTTGTTATTTGTCGTTTTTAGGCACCATCAGTTTTATTGTGATGCTTTTATTTAAGACTGTTTTCTCTGTCAGCCTTCTCTCATAGATCACTCGGGGCTCCTCTGAGACTTGAGCAGGACAGAAATACGAATCAAATAAAAAACAAATACAAATAAAATAATACCAACCCACTCTCACAACTCTTTCTCAGCTTCCATGACCCAACATTTAGTGAAACACCCCTGTTCCCATGGCAATGCTAGTCTCCAACTATGATAAACCATCAGAGCATTTCAAAGATGAAAAGGCACCACCAACAGCTCCTTCCGGTGGACACAAAGCAGGCAGCTTCTTAACAATTAACCAGTAAGTATCAGCTTCCTAGAATACAAAAAGAAGCTGTGACCTTCTAAGAGAAAACTTAGGGATTTGCATGAAACGAGTCCTGGTTTTGCACTGGGCTCTAAGGCTTACCTAAAAGCAGCCAGTAACGGAGCATAGATTGAATCCCCATCGTAGACGTACAGATGATCCCAGCTGCATTCTGTTGCAAAATGATTAAAACGGAGCCTCAAGACTGTGTTAGGCCTAGAAGGAAGGAAATACATGAAACAGCCTTTCCAAAAACTGCATCAGCACACTCTTCAGTTTGCACAGCATTTTGCAGGCAAGGCTTACGGCGAGTTCCAATATTTGAGTTTTATTTATGTCACGGCACGGCTGCAAGGGCACATCTCATTGCAGTTGTTAGCGTATGTGATCTGAGAGCGTTGCTTCTGAGTTAGTCCCCATCCTGTGTGATTTTCAAGTAAGCCACCCAGATGTGATAGATTGGGGGAGCTGAATCAATCAATCAATCAATCAGTCAATCAATCAATCAATCAATTTGCCAACTAGCCAAAGCTAAAATTATGAAGTTGATGTTTCAACACACAGAGTTCCAGAACTGTGGGAAATATTTTTTAAGGAAAAGATGTTATCATGCCTTCCTGCCATGGTGATCAACCTTAGAACAACCCATCACTGATTGTATGAGGGCTGAAACAAAATTCAGGTGAAGTGACAACATCTTTGTGTGGATCATCTTATTAAAACTATATACAAAACATCTTAAGAGTTGGAACTTTATCCCCACAGAAAGTCTTTCACACCAAAAAGGTTGTATGAAGTAGCAGGGCTGTCAGAAAATAATTTATTTTAAATATCATGGTTTCCCAGTTCACACACAGTTCAGCTTTCTTCTTTTGTATCACAAACTTCAATGAGTTTTCCTGAGTAAATGATGGGCCTTGCACACACCAGCACTGCTAAAAGCAGGTCACACCTGTTTAGCAGAGTCTGACTCTTCAACCATGGGAAGCCTTATGTCGAAATGCCATTCATATGAGGGCTGTGAATGCTTTGAAACAATTTGGAAGACCTTTGGAGCTCACACAAGAATGGCCTCTTTATTCCTCATTCCTGGGCAAACTTAAGGTTTGGGAAGAGAAACAGCTCCAGACAACATTTAGAGCTAAAAGTTATATTCTTCAGCCTTGGAAAGAGAAACGGATGGCCCCCAACTTCTCCACTGAGCCAAATTTATGTTTTCTGACCAGACATTGTCATAGTGCCCTACTCTGAACCTCCAGTGCTGACAGCTTCACCTTTCTAAGATAGTCAGGTTCCTGCTTTAAAGGGTCTGGTCCCCTGCCTTACCCATGTCCATGTGCTGAACATGTGAAGATGGGGCAAACAGCTTCACTGCTTCAGCCTTGAAAAAAGGCACAATTGCTTTAAGAATTACATTAACATGCTAACCTTTGTTGGGGAAAAAGTAGCTTCTCCCAAGGAAAATACAACAAGAATTAAACTACATTCATTTAAACTATGATCTTTGCCGCCCCCAACCTGCCCCCCAGGAAAAGGCATTTAGAACAGAATATATATTTCAGCACACATACTCATTTAACTAATGTTCATGTAATTAATAAAGAAGAGCAAATAAGATTACATCACAAACGTGTGCAATTGTTTCTTTGAGAAGATTCCTTACATCTGCAATTTACTCTCATGCTTTTTCTCTGCAAATAACCCATCCTGGCCAACTTATGACTCAGGTAGTCAGGCCAAGTTCATCAGTTAATTAGAGTTTACAAAAGAAGATTTCTTCAAGGCTGCTTGAAGTGTATTTCCTGCTATTCTCTGCACATTTTGCTTGCCTTGTATTCTCCCTATTCAGCCAAGCTCCCCCCCATTTCAAAAGCTGACTCATTAAAGCGACAGCATTTTTTTTCAGGCAACGGCGGAAGCCTGAATGAAGACAGGATCCTATAATATAAAGAGGGGCAACACTTTTGTGGGTTCCAAAGTAACACTTCCAGCTAATTTTGAAAATATTCCCAGGCTTACTTCAGAACAATTGTGTGTTATGCAGCATCCTGCCAAAACCTTTTACAAATAGGAGCAGGCATAAACAAAAATATCATTTCTCAAGCATCTTAAAGTATAGGTTAGGTTTGTCAGCATTCATCCTAGGAAATCCACAAAACACCATAACTTAACATTAGTGGATGCACCCTTCAGACAAATGGTACTAAAAGCTGCTAGGGAAGATCAACTAGCAAATATGTGTAGCTCAGGGTTGAACTGTGGAGTCCTTGGGGTTCTCTGAGCTTGGTTGTTTTCTTGCAAACGTGAGTCCTTGGGGTTCTCTGAGCTTGGTTGTTTTCTTGCAAACGTGAGTCCTTGGGGTTCTCTGAGCTTGGCTGTTTTCTTGCAAACGTTCCATTACCCAGCTAGATAACATCTTCAGTGCACAGAGCACCTAGCCGGGTAATGAAACGTTTGCAAGAAAACAACCAAGCTCAGAGAACCCCAAGGACTCCAAAGTTCAACTAGCAAGGTAGTTAACAAAATCTCTCCCTTCATAGCTTGAAGGACTTTTCTCAAAGATTCATAGCCCCTTTGATGGATTGCCTGGATAAATGTAAATCTGGAACAACATAAAAAAAAAATCCATCATTTCTTTAGAAAAATGCTTCACGTACAGAAAAGCAACGTTTAGGAACATCTAGGGAATCTACTAGCCCTCCCCCTCAAGAAGCAGAAAAACTAATACCGCACCCAACCATCCAATTACTGAAATTTTTCAACTTTGTAGCCAGATCTTTCTTCTTCAAGATCTTTCCTCCTGTAAGTAGAAAAGTTCTTTTAGGGCTTAATTTTCATTTCTTTGGATCAGGACACAAGCCCAGATCCCCAGCAAGATATAAATAGGGTGCACGAACCATGGCACACCACTTGCTGTTTGGGTATATAAAATTCTTCATGCTCACTTGAAACCTGTTCAATTTTTCGAAAGTTACGGCTGGGCCCAGCTTCAGCCATGGCTATCTAAAAGTGAATCACTCCCAGTATACAAACTATATGCACATACATACAGAGAAAAAAGTAAACTAACTGAGCAAGGATGTAATTGTATGCAGATAAAATTCTGGACAATTCAAATTCCATAAAAATAGTAACATGTTACTCACTTTCCTTCTATGAGCCACGTGCATTTCGTTTTGTATTTGTAATTTCCTGGCCCGTCTGTTACGTATCCTGAAGGTCCAGTAAGCCTGTGAAGAGAAACGAAACCTGTAGCACTCCGTTATGATTTACAATTTATTCCATCAACAATGCACTAAAAGGGATGCAAAATAAATTATCAGGATTATTACCCCTTCTGACAAACTGATAACACAGTTATACTTGGAATACAGTGCAGAGTCCTGGCCACTGCAACTCAAAAAGAAGACTGGGAAATGTGCAGAAGAACAGCAAAAATGATCAAAAGGCTGAAGCAAAGAAATAATCGGGGGGGGAGGGAGAGTGGGGGGCTGTTGCCAAACTTTGAATTAAGCCTAACGACGGGAGGTTCATGCAAGTGCATATTGCAATTATAGAATTTGCTATCAGGAGATGCAGTGACAGCCATCAACTCCATGGGCTTTAAAAGGAGAATGAGTTTAGAAGGTAAGACCATCTATCGCCACCACTACCTTGGCTAACAGGAAGAACAGAGCTACTGCATTCATCTTCTGCCTGGGAGCATCCTAGAGTCAGCTATTCCACCATAAAAAGAGAATCCTGGGGTGGTGACAAGGCCTTTAATTTCATTTATCAGGGCTTCTCTTATAGCCTCATGCCATGCAAGGCCAATAGTAGACTTCTGTTTTGAAGGCCAATGTGCAAACTCTTTCAAACACTTGAGATCCAGTGAAATGCTTCCATCCTGAATAACCAGTTAACAGCTCTATTCAAAAGCATACACCGTGTCCCTCAGTGCTGCCATTGGGGCTACACAAACACCCCTCAAAACATGACTCAACCTACCCACCCACCTTGCTCCAATCCAAGTCCAAGTCCACCAGAACCCTGAGCTTCTCTTCCTTCCTAGCAATAAACATAAAATACTAATAAATTAACTGTTCACACTACCCAAATTCAGTTGATTGGCCAGGATGCTCCATTTTGCCAATGACAGCAATGGCAGTTACAAAGTGATACCGGACTTTACAGAGAAAACATACTATGGAGTACCATTACCCGAAATCTACTCAACTACAGCTGGATGCCATACAAGGTTCTGAATCTCAGCAAGTGGCAGTGCCTAGTCAACCTCATCAGCACTCAGAAGCTAAGCAGAATCCTAACTGGTTAATATTTGAATGAAAGGCCACCGACAAAGCCAAGGCTGTAAGCGAGAACTGGGAGGGTAAAAAAATATATATCCTGGAAGCTGAAAATGACAAACCACTTCTATATGGCTGCCTGCCAAGAAAACTCCATGGATGTGCCACTAGCAAAGGAACTCTACTTGAAAGAGGTTTACCTGTAGGGCCACATGAGCAGCGTTTCTCAACCTTGGCAACTTGAAGATGCATGGACTTTATTTCCCAGAATTCTGGGAGTTGAAATCCAAACATCTTAAAGTTGCCAAGGTTGAGAAACACTGCACACAAGCATCATTTCACATTCTGTTTCTCATTGTGGAAAAGCTTGCTAAGTCACTAGACTTCTTTGCCTTCACCATTCCCAAACTGGAAGACACAGAAAGCCAGCAGTTGAACGTGCTGGGACATGTCACCAGAAACATCTGAAGGGTTAGAAAGCTGAAGACCGGAATCACTGAACAACCACAGAAACAGTCTAGTAGTTGGTAAGGAAAGTTTACTCTGGGATGTGGATAGTACAGGGATGAAAGAAAATCATAATATTGTTTAGAATGGGCTTTGATTCACAGCCCAAAATATGTTTCGTTTGACGGTATAAACCATGGTACATTGCTGGTCCCCTCCAACCCATGACTTTTCTCATTCTTTGCCAGCTTACATTGCTGAGGGAAGTCCATTCATTTGGTACCACATTTCCTGGCATGAGATAAAATTATCACACCAAAGGATAAAATCAGATTCTGGATGGTTCCGCACCACCGCAGAACTTCATCAGAGTATTTAGAAGAACATAGTTCTTTTAGCTGAAACAGAAGAAGCCGAATACTCAACAGCCCTGAAAAAAAAATCAATACAAGAATGCACATGACTAAATGCAGATTCAGATGCTTAATTTGGTCTTGTTTTCTCTAATGTCTGACCTTTTGAGAACAGTCCACATCTTGGAATTGAAATGCACAAGAGCACCCGAGTATCAATTCAGCCGGTGCCCTGCTGGTAATTGATAGCAAACAAACAGACTTTAGTAGCTCAAACAAACCTTGTCTGTACAAGAAAAGCTATTGGGCGATGTGCCTTCCTCTCAAACAATGTTACACAGAAATCATTAGAGCCACCCTATACCCAAAGCAATTACTGCTGCTTACACAGGAGAAATAGCATCACAGAATATCTCCAGCCCTCAAGGAGACAACCTAGTGCTACAGAGAACATTCAACTTCTAAACATATTTCACCTGTTCAGACAAAAGGACAAACATACCCTTGTAAGCAATCAAGCACAAGTAAATTTCATCAGGCTATAAAAGATTTTCTCACCTTTGTGTTGCTTACAATAGTTTCCCCCAACCTGATCCCCCACAGCTAGGTTGGGTCAATGTCTTTTCAGCTATGTTGGTAGATGGTAGATGATCTAACTCCTCTGGAGGGCATTAAGATTGGGGAAGACTTTGTAGATTGTGCTAATGCAAGCTACTAATTGAAGTTTTTTTTTAAGAAGTGGATGAACAATCAATCCTTTAACCAAGCTAACATATGGAACTGCTTCTCAGCCTCAACGAAGTGGCCAGCTGTCTTCTCTTGGATAAATTATCTCAAGCCACAAATAACTGTTCCGTCTGCAGCTACCTCACATCAAATTTAGTACAAGGTACAACAACAAAGGAGTCTGCTGCATTGCTGAAGTTCTCTGAGCTTCATTTTTGAGTTACAGATGTTTTATGACCCTGCTAGGTAACATAACCAGGGCAGGAGTTCTGGAGAAGTGAGGCTGGTTGGTTGATGGGGTTGATCAGGCTGATCATCTCAGGATGACCAGAGGACTAGGAAAAAAACTTGCCTTGTTAACAAAAATCAGGAAGAGTCTGGTAGCACCTTAAAAGAGACATAAAGTTTGTGAGCTGCAACTCAAAAAGAAGAGTATAGAGCTCAAAAATGTGCTGCGGCTTACAAAGGTTTCTGCCTTATAATAAAGTTTGATAGTCGAAAAAGATGCTAGCAGACTTCTGATTTTTGGTTACCATAGACTAACATAGCTCTCTTTCTCCAAGTAAGAGAGGCTGGAGGGATTGGAAGGGTTTAGCCTTGAAAAGCAAAGAGGGGGATATGAAGCAAGTATCTAAAAGAATGTCACGTAGGTGATGATCAAGATCTGTCCTCCATAACTTTAGAGGGTAGGAAAAATGGATTTAACTTAACAGGAAGGCAGATTCTGACTGAGTAGCAGAAAAAGCTTCCTAGTAGCTAGAACAGTTTGACAATGGAATCAGTGACCCAAGAGGTAGTGAGTGAGTCTCCTTCATTTCCATGCATTCAACAGAAGCCGGACAGTCATCTCTCAGGGGTGCTTTCATTTAGATTCCTGCAATCAGCAGAGAGTTGGACTTGATGGCTCAAACCAGGGGGTTTCAAACTTTTTCAGACTGTGGAATCTATTAGTTTTAAGATAAAAATTACCTGAACCCCTGATCAAGAGGCAAAGTTCTAGATATAGAAAACAGAAAATTCCCTGTGATCTTCTATTATTGTTGTTATTATTGCCCTTTGTCTCTCACAGAACCCCATCAAAATCCTGGTTCAAATAACCCCTTCTGAACTCCATGGTAAAAAAGGCCTTGGGAACAGCACTCGTTCTTAAACTGGGGACTACCTGTGCTACTGAAGCCCACTGAAGCACATGGATGCAGCCCAGAAATTTGTTTGGAAAAGGGGGTGGGGGGTGGGATGGCAGGTGACTCCCAGAGAAGGGCCTCTGTTGACTACAGATAGTCCTCGAATTACAACGACTCATTCAGCGACTGTTCAAAGTTACAATGGCACTGTATGAGCAGTACTTACAACAGGTCCTCAAAGTTCCAGCTGTCACAGCACCCCCACAGCCACATGATTGTGATTTGGGCACTTGGCAACTGGCTCGCCCATTCAATGGTTGCAGTGTCCCACAGTCACCTGATCACCATTTGCGACCTTCCCTGTCAGTTTCCCACAAGCAAAGTCAATGGGGAAGCCAGCAGGGAAGGTAA